AAGCGATGTTTGGCAGCAGAGCTTTTCCTGGCTGTCTCAGGGAGGCTGGCGTGCGTGAACTTGCTGAAGTACCTAACGCCGGGGGCTATGGAGTGTTTTTTGTTTGTTTTTTGTTTTTTGTTTTTCTTTTAACTTGGCAGTGAAAATATTAAATGGATTAAACAAATGCAGAAATTCTCGAACTGCTTGAACCCAGGAGGCAGAGGTTGCAGTGAGTCGAGATGGTACCACTGCACTCCAGCCTGGGCAACAGACAGAGCGAGACTCTGTCTCGGAAACAAAAACAAAAAAATCGTGTGTTTGGGGGGAAAAAATCAGTCCTATAGAGGAGTCATGTTGTTTTTTAATTTGTAGATGAATGCAGGCACAGAATTCCACAGGCCTGACCTGCTCACTGAAACGTTCTGTGACCATTTTCCTAGCAAGAGAGCCAGCGCACAAGCCTGGCTGTTCCTTGCCAAATCTTGGGCTCCCCTTGGTACACAGAGATGCTAGCGCCATGCCCATAGGTTTAAAATGCTCTGTGGCAGTTGATGTTTCTAAATGCTTCAGTGCCCCGTGCTTTGGCAGAAAGGGCTGTAGAGTCGGGCAGTTGTCCCAGGAATGAGTCGGGCTTGACCACTAGACCCTGGGGTTCATTTTTCTTCTTTGCCAGAATGTGGATCCAACAGCTGAGACCTTACGAGCACAGCTGGCTGGTGAGGGCGTTGCATGGGAGCAGGAGGGAAATGTCACTGCATTTGTGAGGGGTGTGAAGGGTATGAGGGAAGCACTGGGCGGCTCCCTTGAACTTCTGGCCGGCCAGAGGCAGCTTTGAATGCAGGGATTGCACGTGGCCCTAGAAATCCCATTCATCCTCCAGGGCAAAGGATGCGCCTGCCTTTGATTCACGCTGTCAGGTTTTCAGAGCCAGATAAATCCCAACTAATCCATTCAGAAGCACACTGACAGCCAGCCAGAGCCCAAACCAGCCTGCTCAAGGAATTCCTTTCAGATGAACCATTTTATTTTTTACTTCCACATACCGTGATTCGTTTCCCGGTCGGTGCCCTTCGGAATCTGGGCTTCTCGGTGCATGTAGCCCCACCGTGAGCCAAGCAAGCCAACAGGATTGTGTTGGTTTATTGGCCTCAAGCGATGTTTGGCAGCAGAGCTTTTCCTGGCTGTCTCAGGGAGGCTGGCGTGCGTGAACTTGCTGAAGTACCTAACGCCGGGGGCTATGGAGTGGTTTTTGTTTGTTTTTTGTTTTTTGTTTTTCTTTTAACTTGGCAGTGAAAATATTAAATGGATTAAACAAATGCAGAAATTCTCGAGCTGCAAAACCTGCAAGGGTCTGACCGGGGAGATGGTGCCACACTTTGGCACCCAGGCAGGGTGGTCACTGCTCCAGGGACCAGAACTAGGGGGCAGAGAAGCCTCCAGCCACAGTGAACACTCCCCGTAGTCCTGGCTTCTAAGGCTCGCTTTCTTGGTTCACCCCATCCCAGTGGCAACTGAGAGGAAACAGGCTGACTTCCAGGCCTCTCGCAGGCCCAGTTTAAGGAGCATTTGCAGTTCCTGGTTGGGTCATGTGGCTGTGGCTCCACCCTCCAGAACCCCACGTCCCCACGTGACATTTACCCTATGCCCGGCCAGCGTGGGGAGGACATTCATGTGACTATGCCTGGGACCCTGATGAAGCCCCGAGGCTCCTGGTCCCACCAGCCTGGCCCTCCGAGGCAGGAAAGGGCTGCTCTGCCCCCAAGACTGCTGGAGCCCTTGAGTCCTCCCCTCAGAGCAAGTCACCAGCCAGCTGTCGGGGGGTGGTGTGGGACTGGGCCCTGATTGAGCTCTAAGTGCTGCCATATGGTTTCTGCCGAAAGTCTGATTATTAATGACATATTAATTACCACAGGGGCAATCAGGACGCGATGGCTACCCGGTAATTTGTCATTTATTTTTTGCTCTCTTCGCCCTCTTCTCTTAAACCAATATTCTTTCCCTGAGCCTTGATTTAACTCTGTCTGCGCTCCTGTCTCCTCCTCTGCTCCTCAGCAGTAGTGGCCTTTCTGTGGAGGGGGTTAGCGTGAGCTCCGGGGAGATAAAGCCTGCACAGATCTCCAGGGCTGCCCTGGAGGCAAAGCAGAGCACCTCGCTCGGGTGTCTGGGTGGCACTGAGTCCACCTAGCACTGCTTCTTCAGTAAGTCCAGCCCCCGCACTGTGGCGTGCTCCACTGGACAGGCTGGGCCTCTTCCCAGTGGGCAGAGGACCTGTCCCAGCCACCGCTCCTCGTCGTCACTCGATAACAGGAGACTGGCTGGTTCCAGTTTGGCCTTGTGGTGTCATCCCTTGGCAGATCTCTTAAAATGAACCCAAAAGTTAGCGCATTCTTGGAATAGATGTCCCAGCCCAGTCCAAGTGAGTGCCATATCAGCAGCAAGGCACAGTGTGGCTGTGCCACCGCCAGGTCCTGCACGGGGGTTGAGGGTCGTGGCAGCAGCATCCGGAGGTCCTGGGACATCGGAAAGAGCAGGGGGATCCCAGCAGAAGAAGAGATTGGCAGGGCCAGCAAGGGAGGGGCAGATTCATTCTGTGCCTCCAGGGCAGGAAGACGCAAGGAGGGAAATGCTGGCTGATTCAGGGGCTAGATCTGTGCAGTCAGGACGGCTGGCAATGAAGAGGGGTGGTCCCTGGTCCTGCAGTGGAGGAGAGGAGTCCAGACCCAGCACCAGGGAGACTTGGCATAGGGGGTCCACTCTGCTTCCTCCTGGCTGAGTGACCTTAGAGAAGGTGCTCACCTTCTCTGAGCTTTAATTTTCTGCTCTGTGAATGCAGAGATGAAGGCACAAAATGTGTCACAAACGCAGCCCTCCAGGACTTGGTGGTAACTCTGGGGAACATTGACTTCATGCCAGAGTGGCCCCGTGCTGGGCTGAGTCAAGTTTGGGATCTCCCAGGCAGTCAGGGCAGCTCCCCCAGCAGCAAACAGCCTGGCCCCTCAGACTCCGCGGGAGCAAGAATGCCATGTGAAAAACAGCCGTGACCACCCTCATCCCACGACACACACTGGGGTAGGGCCCTGCCACCGTCCCCAGCTGCTCTTCTGACTAGGCAGGGGTCAGGCTTCCGTCTCCTGGGCACGGCAGCCTGGACCTTTGGGTGTCCAGTGTCTTGAGGAAGCACAGGCTTTTGCTGCAAAGTTCAGCCCCGTGTCTTGGCATTATTCGCTGTACCAGCACCAGCCCGGGAGGACCGGAGACTAACAGAACCACTCCTGGCACGACCCAGTTCCCTTCGCCCCGGTTACTCTGTATTCACAGGTCCAGAGGGGAGAGGGTGGGGAGTGGGCGAGCGGTTTCCATCCCCTCTTGTCCATTGTTTCCTCTGAGCAAACAGTGACCCAGAGGTCCACAGCCTCGAGCATCAGAGAAGATGCTGCCTGCGTACCCGGGGGAGGGGCGGGGGCTTGTTCTCAGCCACACCAGAGCAGCTGTCAGGGTCTGCGTCCCACAGAGGCCTCTTCTCCCTCACTCCTTCCTCCCGGGACCCAGCTGGGTGGGGTGGGCAGCTGGCCCTGCGGCCGACAGGCAGGAGGCTGGGTATGGATTAAGTAGCTGGGCATGGTTCTCATCTCTGCAGCTTACTCGCTGTGAAGCCTTGGGAAAGGAAAGCCCCTTGGCTTAGAGCACCCAGAACGTGAGTCAAGGCAAACCCGGGGCTGCTGTCCCTGGGGCCGTGACAGGACTGTCGGGAATTAAAGATGAAGTTGAGTGTGGAGGTGGTATCCGGCTCCCTCACACCTGGGCCTGGCCTGGAGAAAGAGCACTGTCACTGTCGGGGCTGGGAACGGAGAGATGGATGTGTGTGGAGTCCCGCGGGTGTCCCTCAGGCTTGACACTGGGAGTTTTCTTGGAAGGAAGAGAGTTGGGGTCCAGCAAGCCCCCCCACTTCCTGTGTGTAGGCAGCTCTGGCAGCCGTGCCCCTGGTCCTACCAGCAGCTCCCCAGTCACTGGGAAGCCTGAGCAGTCTGGGCCTGGTGAGGGGTGAGGGGACCCTGTCAAAGTCTCTAGGAAGCTGGTATCACAGCCCATGATGGCCTTCTCCCTGAGGTCACCCAGCCCCAGCTTACACACAGACCTCCATTTCCACACGGAGGTAGGTGTCTTCCCTGGGTGGGCTGGATTCAGGGCATTCATGTGGCCAGCACCAGGAGCACGCCCAGCTGTGCGCCTCCAAGCCCCTTGTTCTCGCACTGCCACCCGGGCCATTCCTTCTGTGAGACCCACAGGGTGGGGCAGACACCCCGCTCAGCTTCCCCTGCAGGAGGAAAAGCAGCCGCATTCGAGGAAGGGGGGATCTTTTGCAGGCTCTCGGGGCCCAGGTCCTGAGCAGAAATTCCTATCTCTTGGCCTGTGGAGAACAGGAGGGCTCTGCCCAGCTCTCAGCCTGAGGTATATTTGCAGATGGCTCCATGTGGTCATCCCAGAGGCTAGGGTGACTGCCTCCTGCCGAAGGGCCTGGGCCGCCTCCGAGGCCCGTCATGTGCAGAGGACACCGTGGCTTTGAGTCAGTCACCTGCGTGGACTTGGGCCGGTTACTTGACCTCTGGGGCCTGGGGAGATGACACCTGCAGAGCTGGGGTTAAATGAGTGTCAGGCACAGAGGCCACGTCCAGTCCTGTGTGTGGCAGCCCTTCCGTAAATACCGCCGTCTTTCCTCGTTGCTGACAGTCTCAAGAGAAGAAAAGATGGGTTTCAGAAAGCGTTCTAATCTACTCAGTATAAAATTGCAATATTTGGAAAAACAACTTAGAGAATGGTCAGTTTTAGAAAAGGGTTTTGTTTGTTTGTTTTCGTAGCTTAGTAACTTCTGGGCCGGCCTCGGGGAGGCCTTCTTTTTCTTTCTCTTTGTGCCAGTGTCTTATCCCTTTGTAAGAGCGAGGATGGAGTCCGGCCGGGGGCGGTGGTGGAGACTGTCAGTGCTTTTCTGTATTAACTCAGGCCGGTCCCCTCAGCTGAAGCCAGGTCCGTATGTGGACCTGATGGGAGTGGCTGGAGGACACGGGCATAGAGGCCACCCACATCTGTGGGCAGGTTGTGGACTTGAGGAAGTCAGAGCCGACAAGGGCCCGGCTCGCCCTGTCCATGCCCTCCTTGTACAGAGGCTGGCCTGTCCTCTCTGCTCCCAAGGATTCATTAACAGCCTCTTCTGATTACAACAAAAAGCATGTTTATTGTAAAACATTTGGACAGTAGAGAAAAACACAAGGAAAAAGCATCTCTAATTCTGCCACTCACATAAGTCCTCTTATCTTGGTGATTGTTCTAATATTTCTTATATGCAAGTTTGCTTTTATATTTATTGCCTTTAAAATAGAATTACAAGTGCCTTCTTAGCACAGTAGGCAGCACGTCAGTCTCATAGTCTGAAATACAATTACATTGGACTTTTTTTGTACTATTTTTTTCACTAAATATAGCATGAGACTTTTCCACATCATTAAAAATCCTTAGAGAATGTAATGGCTACATTGTATTTGTTCCGATATATCATTTATTTAACTAGTCTCAAAGTTAAATTATTTATATTGACAATTTTTCACCCTTACATTCAACATCCTGGGAATAAATATAGCTTATTTCCATGATTATCTCCTTAGAATAAATAACTAAAAGTGGAATTGCTACACCAAAGGGTTTGCACATGTTTAAGGCTTTTGATGTGTATTGCCAAATTGCCCTCCAGGAGACTGTACTAATTTACATTCCCACCAACAATGAATAAATGCTGCATATTTCCCCAAATGCCGGCCAACTGTGGGTATTATACTTTTAAAACTACGCCAATATAAGTTTTAAAATATATGCATATATGTATGAATATTGTTTTAATTTAGGGCGTATTTTAATTAGAAGTAGTCAGAGATTAAACTAGTTTTGATAAGGTTTGTGTAATCCTGTCACCTCGTGGTAAAGGCTGGAATTGCAGGCATAGAGTTTAAAGAGGAAATCACCCGTGTTTAAGACCTTTTGGATCCCAACTGGTCCAGGGACAGAAGACATCATGGAATCAACAGCATAGGGATAATGCTTAACTCAGAACATTGTGAATCAAAGAAATGTTGGGCCTTCAGAGGAGCCCTAGGTGCAGCACTCTTGCATTTTGGGGTAGTAATCAGTATTTATGTTGATAAAGTGATTTTGCCGTCTCAAAAATAGGAGGCTTGGCTGTGTTCAACAAATCTGATGGGTGTCATACCCTGGCCTGGGCACTGGGATGGCACAAAGATGGATCAGGCCCAATCACAGTCTTTGGAGAACCATATGGGAATGGGAGGTTGCCCTGGGAGACAGAGAAATGAATAATTAGAAGTTCAATGTCATCTTCCTGGAGGTATCTTGTTTATTACAAGCCCTTTTTTCTTCTCTAAGCTGACTTTTGACTAAGATGAAAGCACCTGCCACTCATGCAGGGCTTAATCTTGCCTAAACTTTGACTTTTACACAGAAAACATTAGACCTTCTCATCTCCTATTTACAATGTCACAATGTTGGCTTTTCCTCTTCTTTGGTAGTTTGATTGTCTTAACTCTTAACATTAGGCTTTAGTGACCTTCTGGTTTGTTTTACACATTCAGAAACCTATTTAAACGTTTCTTAGATATCATTTAATGTGCTTTAAAGAGAATAAAACAAGGATATGATGAGAGTGTTGGCTGGGTGAATGGACAGGTACAATTTGGATTAAATAATCAGAAGGCTTGAAGTGAGATTTAAATGATGAAAAAGCTGCAGAGATCTTGGGGGAGATCCCAGCAGAGGAAAAAGCAAGTGCGCAGGTCATGAAGTTGGAGCAAGCTTTGTGTGTTCAGGTACACTCAAGGTCAGTGTGGCAGAGTGAGTGGAGCAAGCTTTGTGTGTTCAGGTACACTCAAGGTCAGT